AATGAATTTTTAACAACCTTCCTCCTTCCTTGTCCTTGACAGCACTAAATATGAAACTGAAGCAGCAAAACAAAAAGTTATTGGTAAATTAATTAATTTTATGATAAATTCCACTTATCTTATCTTATCTCTTTCCATTGATGTAAATAATTTGTTTTTTTTTTTTTGTTTTTTAATTTTTTGGTGTAATTGAAGTGTTGATATGAAATGAAGGTGGAGACAGATCAAGATTGGTGTATTTTTATAAAACTGCTAAAAACAACAATCTATATTTTTATCAATTTATATCTTGGTCTTGCCCTAGCTTGGAGCTCTAGCTTCGCCACTGCTCGCTCATGGTATGGTTGGGTATTTCTTATTGGGGCTTAACAGAGGTACATTTTTGTGAGAAAGGTGTAAAAACGAATGCAGTTGTGTATCAAAATACAGTCCTGACGAACCTTATGGAACCTGTTTCTCATACCATGTTCAATAACAGGCACTGGGTATTCCAACAAGATTTGTCGCCAGCTCATAGAGAGAAGAGCACACAAGACTGGCTGGCGGCTTGATCTATCCCTCTAAAAAGGGTAAAACTTAATAAGGGTTTAAAAAATTAAGTACAAAAACCTTCAAAAATAAAAACTCTAAAATAATTTCCACACATAGCTTCTGAAGTCGAGACTCCAATTCTTCAATACAATATGCCTTAGCACCAATAAACACTACTTATTACAAAAGAATGCAAAGGTAAGTTATCAATATAAGTATTTATTACTTATTGAGATCTAGTAGGGCGGATGTGTGTGTAAGTATTTCTGTGGCCTTGCAGACATGCGACGCAGGTATGATATCATGAGATAGTAGTCATCAAAATAATGAAAAATTAGAGTTATTTTTTTAAAGACATTTTGTCTTTCTGCTTGCTGTTTATTCCATAGTAAAAATTATATATACGAAACGTGAACAAATTATAATGACGGTTATCTCTTCTTTCTACTTTTCCTGATATATCGATCAATGACGGCTATCAATTGACGACTCAGTGACGCAGTAGCTTAGCAATAAGTAATAGCGCTGAGGGCCGCGGGTTCGAATCTCGCACGGAACAAGTATTTGTATAGCCTACAAGTAATTGTTACGGGTCTGGATGTTTGTTCTTATGCAATTTATGTATGTAAACCGTCTTCACGATACGGAAGAAATTCGTTTTTGTGTAAGAGCTTGATTTAATATGTGTTAATTGGGTAAGTATTAGGAAGTGTTTCCTCATTAGCCAGAAAGTTTCGATAGTTCAAACACCTGACCAGACAAACATAATAAAGGATAGCTGTAGGTGCGAGTGCAAGGCGCAGAAAAATATAATTTATAAGTCGATGCGATAGTGAGTTAGATATTTTCTGTTTTTATTTATGTACGCATAGTATACGTATACCTTTTAATATTTGCTTGTGCCGTTTATAAAATAAGTGTAATTCAATTATGATAAAATATCATCATGAGAGACGACGACGAGATAATTTGCTTTATTTTTAAAATTCTTCCAGTTACCTCCATCGCTCTCTGGAACAAACTGGCTGTTGACCTGCGAATAATATTCTCCACAAAACTGTATTTAAAAGAAAATTGTATAAGCATATCCGTAACCTACAAAGACGAGTCAACTTATTTCCTATGATTATTACAGCACTTAAATATGTTTAAGTATATATACACATACATTTTTCGAGATGTATATGTATAAATAAATGAATATCTTATGGACGTGTTGCATGATATATATGTCATAACTGACTTTCAGTTCTACCCAAAGTAATTTGATAGAGAATGCCATATAGCATTGAGCACGCCTTTTGTACAAATTGTTGGTGTAATAAAGAATAAAATATATGAATAATTTTTTTCCGTAGAGACAGAAAAAATATCTATCAGCTTTGAGACTTTGAACATTAATTAACCTCAAAAACTATTGAACAAGTGAATATACGCACAGTGATTATCACATTATGTTATAAATCATTTACAGGACTCATCAAATTTTTTTTCACATCTAAATCCAAAAGTTCTTAAGTAGCCGTTGAATAAGAAAACGAAAAGGACAAAGAAAAAAAGAGCAAGTATACCAATAGGACATAACACTATATGTCTATAATGATGCCAATGAATAAAATCCTAAGCAAGTCTTAGAAATTCTAGTAATAATCTAATAAATACTTTTTCTTTTTTTTTACCATGGCAAAAGAATGCAAACATAAGTAAACAATCCAATTTAAACGAAATTTTGAATACTGTATTAAATTAAAATTGCAAAAGTAAATTTCATGAAATTTCCAAACAATAATATTAAGTTTACTAGATCCGCCTGGATTTTCACGGGTGATTTCTGGAATAAATAAAAATTTATTTATTTATTATTATTATTATCTCGAGCCAGCAGAACAGCGCCATCTACCGGGTTCAACTGAGTTTTAAACCTTCCAGGGACTCACTCAAATGCAAACAAAAAATCATCAAAATCGTTTGAGCCAATTTCGAGTTTTTGCGAGACAAACGGACAACAATTGATTTTCATTTAAAGATATATTTTACATAATTATCAAAATGAAATTATAGTCCATAATTTTTAACCATAGTTTTACTATAATAAACATAATAAAATTATCTGATCAATACAAATAACTATCTCACTAAGATATATATTTCCTTGCGTCCGCGCCTACAGATACCCTAAATTATATTTGTTTGGCCAGGTGTTTGAATTGTCGAAACTGTCTGGCTACTGAGGAAACGCCTTCTAATAGTTACACAAGTAACATTAATAAAATTTAGCTTTTATACTATTAATATATAATGAAAATTTTATGCTGCTTAAGGGTGTCTGGCAAAATATTATCATAATAGAATACTTTAATACATTGCCACGATACTGTCTTGCAACGGATGACTTGATTTTTAATATTATTCTGGATAAAATATGATAAAATTACGCTTTTTACTTTGAAAAATTTAATTTGCAATTTTATACACCTTTGCTAACTATTATCTGCCAAAGCCACGATGATCCAAGCTCCATCGTTCCTTTCTATGTTGGGAGCAGGCGCTGAGCAAATTTCAGCTTTTATAAAATAAGGCATGTCTGGCATTCACGGCCCTCATAGTCTGTGAGGATTAAGAAGACTTGACGATGTCAACTGTTTCTTCAAAAACCAAACGTCAAATAGTGCTAATTAACAGAATATGCATTAAGCACCAACTGATTAACAAGTAGCTATCTAACGCCGAAACTAAATTTCACAGTCCGATAATGGCTATGTAGTATAATAATTTATTGATGCGTCCGAACGCTTGGCACTCGCCGCACACTCCAAATCTCTACAAACGTTTGGCTTAGTTTTGGAAATCAAATGTCGCCATCCACACCCTTGCGAACGCGTTAGTTTATTCTGAAGTGGCAAGCATGACGGGCATCGAGGTTGTTGTATCGGTCATAAATTAGTTTAAGTTATTTTTGTTATAAATACAAGAAAAAAGGTGAAAGAAAACCAAAAATACGGCAAAGGAAATGCTGAAAGTTAAAAATTCATAAAAACTGTACCAAGTTATTATAAAATTATTTTAATATAAGTTCTTTTTTTCGTCACCAGTGCAGAAATGAGACTGAGCCCACAAACGTGTAGACGCGTCTCAGCGCTTGCGGCAAATTCATTTTGATTTGTGACAAAAAAAAAACAAGACTCGACGGTTCTGCTGCAAGCGCTTGCAAACCTACGCAGACAAAACCAAACACTCTATCAATACGTTTGAATATGTGACGGCTTGTTGAGGTTAGCGGAGCGTGCAGACTCAGCATGAGCTGTTTCGTTTTTTGTTCAAGTTCTTCAAAGTAATTAATGCTTAGGAATGTTCAGAAGTAAACATGGATTAGTCGTTGTTACGATGTGCTGAAGATACGAATGGGTGCTATTGAAAATTTGAATATATACTATTAAAAAATCCAATCATCGGTTAGGTATTATTGATTAGAATTTTCAAATAACTTAATGACTAACCGATGGGAAAGAGTGGTCTTGAGTTACAGCCAGTGAGCAAAGTGTAGGGCGGACCCTAGGTTGTGGGTGGTGATGATCTGGTAAGACTTGAAGGAAGTTGATATATGCAGGTAAATCAGTACCGTGTTTTGTGCATTCTATCTTGTGTTTGGGTACTATATTTCAATAAAATAATAAAAACAAGTAGTAAGCAGGTAAAGTAAGGTTCATATTACAGCCTTACAATTATTAAATATCCGTTGTCTTCTACTACTTTTGCACAGTTGTTTTTTTAATAGCAGAAGGGTGACAAATGAACACCCAGTCCACTTGATTGTATGTGGATGCTGTGGTATATAGATATCTACATTTATCTAAGAATCAAAATGTAATGATAAATGCGTTGTCACCCCTGAAGACTAAGATGGAATGCATGAGGCTTTCAATAGTGTTAATAGAGCACATGTGCTCCAGGGATTGCATCCGTTTATACGCATTTTTTCTAGTGCTTGAGAACTAAGATGGAATGCCTTGTATTTAGTAAAAAAGGTCTCCGGTTCTCTATACTCACCGTACAAAATGTAACAGAAATAAGCTGCTATTTCACACTGGTATTCTGTAAGGGCGTGGTCCTGCCGCGGTTGAATCAACCCATTCATGATACAACCATATTAAAGTCACAGTGTGACTGTACGATTGTAAAAGTGACTTACCTTGATTGGCAGTAGACTTAAAACACACAGAATCAGACGTCTGGCATCTTTAACGTTGTTGTATGTCTGGTCAGAATACTTTATGTCTGGCGTAAATGAGGTAGTATAAAACTTTTAAGCACTTTTAAGGATTTTTTGACAGCTGTCAAATTGAACAGTTGTGTTGGTGTTTTCTCCTACTCTAAATTTCGATTAAAAATCGATATTCACTGTGCATTTACATTCAAACTTCGCAAATATGTCTACTACGAAATGTTATCAGTGTGTGAAAAGCGTAAATATGGAGGATGCAGTGCAATGTGATGGGTGTAAACGACACTTGTGTTTTACTTGTAGTGGACTTACTAGCAGTGAAATCAAAGTAATGGGCCTAAAAACCAAACGTACAATGCTGTTCCTATGCAAACCATGTCGCGAGGGGCTGTTTCAAGTACCGATTTTAATAAAAGCTGTTGATGCATTGCGGGATGAAGTACAGCAGTTGCGATTGGAACTGGCATCGAAATCTGGCCTAACTGATGCCACTTCTGCTTCAAAAACCGTCACGTCCGATGTTATAGCGGAAATACGTGAGCGGGAGCGCCGAGCGTGCAATATTTTGATCGCGGGCACCAAGGAATCTGAGGCGGAAGATGTGCAAATACGCCAGAAACATGATGAAAATGTGGTGAACAATATTATTAGAAATCTAAACGACGAAATATCCCCAAGTGATGTGCTTAAAATTATAAGGCTAGGAAAAAGAGAAACAGGCAAGACTCGTTTGCTCAAAGTAGTGTTTAAGTCTCGCTGGGTAGCTGTCAAGGCACTTCAAAACAATTAGTTGCTTTGCTGTCTGGTAAATGCTGGCTAGGCAAGAGAAGGGTGAAACGGACATCACAATCAAATATGTCAAAGGAGAACCCAAAATTATAAAACAAAAAAACTAATCACTAACAACCCGTACGCTACACTCACATTTTTATACACTAACATCTGGTCTCTGAATACTAAGTTTGATTTACTGCTTCTTGAAATTCAAACAAAAAACCCTACATTTGTTTTACTTACGGAGACTTGGCTCAAAAGCATAGACAAAGGAGCCAGCATTTCGATTCCAGGTTACACACTATACAGATTAGACAGAAAAATAATTCCTGGAGGAAAATCAAGAGGTGGTGGTGTAGCAGTTTATGTACGGAAATTCATTAATAATGTACCAATAGTTGTAAAAAAAATAGTGCATACATGAGCGAATTGACAGAAGCATTATATCTTGATATTCAACTAAAATCACATCACTTTCTCTTAGTGGTTATATACAGAGCGGACAGTGACAAGGAATGGAATATTAAGGACAAAATACTATATGAAAACTTAAGTACTGCATCTGCACACAACACCATGGTCATAGTTGGGGATTTTAATTACAGGGACATTGTTTGGCCTCTTTCTTATAATCAGAGCTTGCATGACTCAGCTCAGCTCTTTCAAAAATTCTACTTTGACTCAGCTCTATGCCAACTTGTCACTGAGCCAACCCGCTATCAATCCGGAAATATTCCCTCACTACTGGATTTGGTAATGACAAACGAGGAAGATCTTATCTCAGGCATTACCAACTCAGCTCCAATTGGTAAAAGTGATCACTGTGTAATTGAATTTCAAATTCAATACCTCATCTCAAGCCCTTCAGCGCAAGGATTATTTAGACGTGCTTTACATAAAATAAACTATGAGATTGTTAATGCAGAGCTCAAAAACAAGCTATGTAGTCATGACTGGAGTAAATCAGTTGATAAACAGTGGATGGCCCTGAAGGATGAAGTGGAAATTGTTTTAGACCGACATGCTCCTCTCAATATGGTTAAAAAAAAGAAAAATCTAAATAAACCCTGGATAAATGCTTCCATTGTTGAATTGACAAAACAGAAAAAGATTTTATGGGACTCATATGTGGCAGACAAGAAATGCGATACAAAATATAAGGCATACAGAGACTGCAATAACAGGTGTGTTAGTGAAGCAAGAAGACTTAGAAGTCTTTACGAAGCCAAGATTGTCGAGAGTGGAAACAAACCCTTCTATGCTCACCTACGCAGTTGCATGGCTTCTAAAGTTGGTCTGCCGCCTGTGGTACGTGATGAACTTGGCAATCTTGTGGTTGAAGGGTCTAAAATTGCCGAAGCATTTGCTTGTGAATTTGAGAAAACATACTCATTGGAACCTGACCTTAATAATATTTCCATACCTATACCAAGAGTTAAAAACTCCATAGATGACATCAAGTTCATATCACAGGATGTGCTTATGGTTCTCAAGTCCCTAAATGTAAACTCTGCTACTGGGCCTGATAATGTCCCTGGAGTATTTCTCCAATCATGCGCTGAAACCATCACACCTGTCTTGGTCAATATTTTGAATGAATCATATGCTTCAGGTGAGATACCAAAAGACTGGAGACATGCTATAGTAACACCTGTTTTTAAAAAGGGTGATAAATTAGATCCAGCTAACTTAACTAGTATTGTTTGCAAATGTATGGAGAAGATTATATGTAAAAAAAGTAAAAAAATTCCTAGCAGATGAGAAAATTATTCCGGATAACCAGCATGGCTTTGTGGAACGGCGCTCGACTACAACTAACCTTCTTTCCTGCTACCACAGATGGACTGAGGAACTTGATAAACATAATCCTTTGGATATATTCTACCTGGACTTTGAACGGGCCTTTGACAAGGTACCACACAGACGTCTTTTGGTTAAATTGGAACATCTGGGTATCCGAGGAAATCTTCTGAAATGGATCAAAAATTATCTGAGTGGAAGAACCTTTCAGGTAAGAGTTGGTAATGTATATTCGCAACCTAAAGACGTCTTAAGTGGAGTGCCACAAGGATCTGTACTCGCTCCTACCCTCTTTGGCATTTTTGTTGCAGATCTGAGTTCTGTAATACACTCAGAAGCCTGTTTCTTTGCTGATGATGTGAAATACTTCGGAAATCCTCTATTGAGCCAGGGAACCTTAAGAGAAGACTTAGAGCGTATACAGGAGTGGACAAAAAATTGGGTTATAAGACTTAATCCTTCTAAGTGCACAGTTCTGCATCTAGGCCGAAACAATCCCAGAGAAATGTATAATATTGGAAATTCAACAGTACAGTCAGTCAACTCACACAAGGATTTAGGTGTCTTAATATCATCGGACCTCAAGTGGGCTGACCATATCCATAGTATTGTCAAAAAAGCAAAAAGCATTTTGTATGCAATCAGACGATCGTTTCAGCATCTGACTCCAGATACATTGCTTAAGGTTTATAAAACATATGTCCGACCGCTGATAGAGTATGGATTTCAAATTTGGAACCCCTATTTTCTTAAGGATGTGGAATTGCTGGAGAGTGTACAGAGAAAAGCCACAAAAATTCCATTATGCCTTCGCAAAAAGCCATATGAAGAGAGATTAAAAATATTGAATCTAACAACGCCGAAATCTCGCCGTACCAGAGGAGACCTTATTGAAACCTACAAAATATTGACACATAAATATAATTGCAAAGAGCTGCCACATATTTTTAACATCAGCAGTATCCACCGACCTAGACATCCTAACTATATGAGATTGGCCCACACCCGCTCATACACTAATGTGGGACATCACACACTAAACAACAGAATCATAAACATATGGAACAAGTTGCCTCAAGACTTGGTAGATGCTCCCTCTGTGATTAGTTTTAAAAACAAATTGGACAAATGGTGTAAAGACAATCCAATTTAGTGTATTCCTAGTGTGAACTTGGACTAATACAAAACACCAACACATATATAGGCATATCAGCTATAAGCTGCTCGCCTATTACCAGATAATAATAATAATAATAATAATTTCCAACAGTCTTCACCAAACGTCATGGATTTGAATGCGACTTAAAATGTGACTTTAAAGGGATATTATCTTTTGCTAAATGTAAGAGAAATATAATTTACGAGTACTTGTACATACACATAATTGTGGAAGCTTTAAGTCCACCGATTTGCAATATTAGCTACAAGTATGATTTAACATGTGTAGCCTTTCAATTGGTACATATGCCAGGTCTTCATTTCCAACTTATTTCACCCAATGCTTACATCTAAAACATAATATAAATAAAACCACATTTTTATTAAACAAACAAAGTGTATGCAGTCACAAATGATAACATAGTTTCTGTTCTGCGTATAGCTCGTTTCGGATTGCCATCTCATCGGACTATCAGAGTTAGGAAATAGCGTGTGTTTGTACTTGTGTAAGACAGGTTTTTATAGTGTACGATTACACTATAAAAACCTGTCTTACTTAGATGGTTAGTCTCCTGTGATACTAGCGTCCGTGATCAAAGTTCGGTTTTGAGGACATCACTACAAATAAAGGTCCAAAAATCTATCCGCATTAAATTTCATATTGCAATTAATACCTTTCAACATCTAAGGGCAAATTTGCCATGGGTATCCTTTTCAGAATACTTTTCCGCTTCTTATACCATCTAATTGGCAAGTTTTGTAATGGTTATTTGATTTGTTTAACAATTCCTTAAAAGAAGAACGACTCCTTTAGCAAAATTAAAAGCAATCTAAATAATTAAAATAAATATTTTATATTTTGATTAGACATTTGAACGTATTTCATTTGACGGTATAATTTTTTTCTATTTTTTTTTCTCTTTAAAAAATCGTTACCACCAAACTAGGAATTTCTCCCGTATCGTGAAGACGGTTTACATACATAAATTGCATAAGAACAAATATGCTGACCCGTAACAATTACTTGTAGGCTATACAAAAATACTTGTTCCGTGCGGGCCCCCAGTGCTATTACTTATTGCTAAGCTACTGCGTCACTGAGCCGTCAATTAAGAGCCGTCATTGATGAATATATTATGAAAAGTAGAAAGAAGAGATAGCCGCCATTATAATTTGCTCACGTTTCGTACATATAATTTTTCTATGGAATAAGCACCACATTGAAAGACAAAACATATTTGGCTATAATTTTACATACAGAAATGTGTTTGTGTAAAATAATTAGCTTTAATTATTCATTATTTTGGTGACTACTACCTCATGATGTTACACCTGCGTCGCATGTCAGCAGAGCTACAGAAATACTTACACACACATCCGCCCTACTAGATCTCAGTAAGTAATAAATATATATATTGATAACTTACCTTTGCATTCTATAGTAATAAGTAGTGTTTATTGGTACTAAGGCATATTATATTGAAGAATTAGAGCCTCGACTTCAGAAGCTATATGTGGAAATTATTTTAGAGTTTTTATTTTTGAAGGTTTTTGTACTTAATTATTTAAACCCTTATTATATTTTACTCTTTTTATTGGAATAAATCAAGTTCAAGGTAATGACTAGAATTTCGCCTACATTAAAAATTCATTCCCTATTTTCACACACTTAGAGGTGAAATTTATTTCTAAGATTTATATCAGACAGCCCCATAAATCGTTATATAGAGCCCTCTTATTATTTGTATTTGGCTAAAAACATCAACTATGCTCTGGTGATTACGACTGTTCCTAGATGTCTTGACCACATTATAGCCGGTCCTAAGTCCGGATAAATGAGGAGGGTTTCATCGTTGGGCTAACCATCCAAAATGAGAAAGCAACTGGTTGTGAATTCCGACTCAGAAGAAAATACCGGACCGCTTTTAACCCGACGATTCCGACGAATGGAAAAGGATAAACGATTTTGTCTGCGAATTGGTACTTGGGAGAAGGGCGGGCCACCTGGTACGAATGCCGGATTCTAGGGCCGTAAAAGTCATGACCAGGTGGACTCCC